TGGAATGGAAATCATTTACCAAACTACTGCATTAAAATAAGAAAGCTCCCCCCCCCCCCGTTTTCTCTTGCTCGTTCACAACATCTGGAATAATAAAATCTCCTATGCAATTTTGAAGGCCTTCCCTAAAAAGCTCTCAAGTCAGCAGGAAGGAGACTTCAAGAAACTAAGAAAAGCTCAAAAAATGACTTCTAAGGAAGTCCAGGGATTAACAGAATATGCAACCAATTGTGTACTCCAGAGGGACTCTGGATTCTAGTGCTGGCTCTGCCTCTGGCTTGATCTGTGACCTCAGCTTACTTTAGGTAAGTTTTGCCGTCCTACCTTCTGCTGTGCGGGACCATGATGAAGCTGAGGGACGATAGCCAAATTACTGTCTTGTCTTTCTCGTGTTGTATATAACACATGCTTGCATATTTTCCCTTATGTAATGGCTTCTAGTTTCCTATTTGTTAAAGGTTCATACGTCTGTAGAAGACAGGAAAACATCAGTGTGGTGTATACAAGCCTTGGGGAGCCAGTCAGAAGACTGCATTCTAATCCTATTTAGCTGGAGATCTCCAGTAGGGACTTCTACCCTCTCTGAATGTTTCCTCAGCTGTAAAGTGAAGGAATCTGACTTTTATCCTTTTCTTCTTTCTCTTCTCTTCTCTTCTCTTCTCTTCTCTTCTCTTCTCTTCTCTTCTCTTCTCTTCTCTTCTTTCTGTTCTTCCTCCCTCCCTCCCTTCCATGATCTCTGTGCCAGTGTGGGGCTTGAACTCACAACCCAGAGATCAAGAGTCACATGCTCTACAGACTGAACAAGCCAGATGACCCTATCTATGTTTTTGATACTAAGAGTATTTTTGCTAAAATGTTTACAATCACCTTAGAGAAGTTAGCATTTCTAGCTTCCAAGGTAAGTTTCCCGATTCTCTTAAATTACAATTGACCTGGTACAGTATTTTAATGCAGACATTGGATTTTTTTTAAAATTTATTTTATTTATGATAGTCACACACACAGAGAGAGGGAGGCAGAGACACAGGCAGAGGGAGAAGCAGGCTCCATGCACCGGGAGCCCGACGTGGGACTCGATCCCGGGGCCTCCAGGATCGCGCCCTGGGCCGAAGGCAGGCGCCAAACCGCTGCGCCACCCAGGGATCCCCGACATTGGATTTTCTGTATATATCATGATGTAGTGTGTATTTTTTATGCATGTTTCACAAAGTGAAATATTTTGAAGGTTAGAGATAATTTTCTTAAAACGCTGTTTGAAATATGTATTTCCTAATTATTTGAAATATAAAGGGTCCAGATGGTGTAGAAACGCACTGCATTTTAAACGTACGGTATCAACACAGAAAATGTTTACTGGTTTTCTAATTTTGGAGATGGACATCTTTTACTTTATTATATAAACTCTTCATAGCATACCAAAAAATGCATTTTGTTCCTGATCTCATGGTACAGTATTTTGAAGGCTACTTAGCCAATTTTGCATAAATATAATAATAGTAATACCAACTTTTGTTTGGTATGTGACAGAGCTCTACTGCATTAATTAACTGTATGGCAGCTACCCTATCGAGTAGGTATTTTTTCTTACCCTCATTTTGCAGCTCATGAAACAATGGCATCCAAACGTTAAATAACTTGCCTGAGGCTACACAGCTAGGCTGGGATTCGAATCCAATCAGTTAGGGAACCCAGGACTCTGACCTGCCAGACAATACTGTCTCTCATATGCGTTACTAATACTCGATACAGAAGATGCCATTTAGGGGATCCCCGGGTGGCTCAGCGGTTTGGCGCCTGCCTTTGGCCCAGGGCGCGATCCTGGAGTCCCACGTCGGGCTCCCGGCATGGAGCCTGCTTCTCCCTCTGCCTCTCTCTCTCTCTATCATGAATAAATAAATCTTTAAAAAACATATTTTAAAAAGATGCCATTTAATGAGAAGGTAAATACGATGAGGCTCAGTAGAGGTTATGAGCAAACATCAGGTCATGAACAAAAACAAGAATATAGAGTCATTTTATGACAAACGTCCTCGCCAAGTCTGGGGGGGGGGGAGTCCGTTTCCTTTCCCCAGCTGGGATCCTGGTTTAGTCAATTCCATAATCTTAACTAGAAGTTACGTGGTTAACCGTAACCACGAGAAGCAAAATGAAGCCAAGCCACGCAGGGTCCTGGGCCCGGGCGGAGGGGGACCGACCCGGGGGGGACACCTGGAGACTGGGGCGGGGAGCTCCCTGCTCTCCCCACGGCGCAGACGCTAGACGGAGCCCAGCGGGCGAGCGACCGACTGCTTCGGCCTGGGGGGGCAGCGGCAGGCCGGGGCGCCCGGGGAACTGCGGCCGGGGCGCCTGGTTGCGACGGCCGGGGTCCGCAGGAGCCGGGGGGTCCGCAGGAGCCGGGGCCTCCGCGGGATGCGCAGAAGGAAGGGAGGCCGGAGAGAGCTCCCCCTCGGCGCTCCACTCCCCCCGGATGGAGCCTGCGCTCACTTTCGCCCTCCAGCCCGTCCTCCGCGGGCCGCGCGGGTGCCGCAGCCGCACCCCGGTAGCCGGCTTGGGGCACTCGCCGCCGCCGTGTCCGCCCGCCGCCGGGTCGCGCGCTCGCCGGGAATCCCCCATACCCCGCCCCCTCCCCCCCCCCCGCCAAGCCGGCGAGTCGGAGAAACCCACCGCGGCCTGGGAGCGCCGCCTCCCGCGGGGCCCCTCCCCGCCCACTCACCACTCTCGCCGGGTGCCCGCCGTTTCCCGCCCACCCCCGGCTGCGCACCCAGCCCCGCCCGCAGGCGCCCACCCGCTCCGGCGCGCAGCCCTCCCCGGCCCCTCCCCGCCCACTCCCCACCGCCCGGGACGGGGGCCGCCGCGCACGCCGGTGCCCAAAGGTGCCCCGCGCCCCCCGGGCCCCCGCGCGCCCACGCCCCTTCCAGTGTCCGCAGCCGGGCCGCGGGGACTCGTCCCAACTTACCCAGAGACTCGGTCGCCGGGGCCGAGGGTGGGCAGACAGCCCGGCGGGCTTCCGGGAGCCTGAACGCGGACGCCGACTCAGACCCTCCGGGGCGCGCGCTCAGACGCCCGCTCCCCGGCTCCACCGCCTCGGCGGCGCTTTTCTTACGGGAGGCGCCGGGACCCCGGGAGTGTCTCCCCCTCCTTCCCGCCGGCGCCCCAGCTGCGCGGCCCGGCGACGCCGCCGACGTTTCCACCGCGCGGAGCTCCCCAGATCCACCCCGGGAGGCTTCCAGGGCTGGGCTCCCGCGTCCTACCCGCCCCCGGAGCCCAGGCCCCCGTGGCTGAGTCGTGCGGACGCCCCGGGGGACCCGGCCAAAGCTGGTCCCGGCGGCTGGACGCCCCCCTTGAGACCCAGGCACACTGTGAGCCCGTACACCCCTCCAGGACGCGCGGGCCGTGGGGCCACCGACCTGCACCGGCTCCCGCCATCGCGGCTCCGACGAGAGCTCCCGGCCCTGCCCTGCGAGCGGCCCGCCTGGCCGCGGCCCCCTCCCAGCCCGAGGCCTTCGAGCGAGTCCGAGCGGGGCCGGGGGGTGAGGCCCGCGGTACTCACGATTTCGCCGTCCGCTGGGCGAGCCGGAGGGAAGCTCCGGCAGCTCGCCTCTGTCGGCGGTGCGCATGCGTCTAGTGTGTGCCTTTTTTTTTTTTTTTTTTTGATATTACAATACCCACTGGTAGCTTTACTTCGCCCGCGACTGCCCGCCTCGGTCTTTGCTCTCACCTTCTTCTCCGTCGCTCTGGCTCCCTCCGCTCTGCCTCCTCCGCGCCCCTCCCCCGCGCCTCCCCGGCCGGGCAGTCCCGGTCTCGCCTCCCTGCTGCCGCAGCGCGCTCCGCCGCGCCGGGGCTGGGGGCTCGCCCCGGGCTCCCAGAGGGACCCAGTCCGCGGCGGGGCTGTAGCCCACTCCTCCAGCCCGGGGCTGGGCCGAACCCAGAGCGCCGGCACTCGGCCGGGCGAGCGCGGCGAGCGCCCGCAGGTCGCCTCTGCTCTCCCTTCGCTTGGGCGCGCGGGGGCCGCGTGCTCAGACCTAGTGAATGGAGCGGGCGGGGGGAGGTGCGGGTGCGAGGGTGCGGAGAGGCGCGCCGAGGGTCACGCGGCGGACCACGCCGCATCTGGAGGGCAGCCCCCTACCTTCTTCCTTTCCCCGGGTGCTCCTCCGAGCTCTGCCCCCGTCCCACCCGGGTGATGCCTCTGCCTGTCCCTCCCTCACTGGCGACGAGCTCCACGCCCTCCGCCTGCCGCCGCGGCCCGAGGCCCCGCCAGCTCGACGGTGGGGGTGGGGGTGAGGCGGTTGGCTAACTCCGGATTCCGGATCCCGCTGAGCCCCCAGGCAGCTGCCTGCCGTCCCCCGGGTCCCCGAGCCCCAGGCGTAGGGAGAGACCTGGGGGCGGGGCGGAAAATACGCGGCGGCTCCGCTCCTCGGGCGCAGAGCCCGGGGGATCCCGGTAGGCCCCTCCGTGTGCCCTCGGGAGCGAGGCGCAGACGGACCGCCGGGGCCCGAGCAGGAGGTTGGAGGGCCAAACTGAAGCTGGAAGCCGAGCTGACACAGAAATAACATCACGTCATTTCCTCCCCGGCCTCCGAGCCTGCGGACGCCTAGAGGGCAGGGGAGTGGGCGCGGGAGGGGCGGAGGCGCGTTGCGCGGAGGCTCGGAGGAAGGGGCTGAGCCGCACGTTAAGAAGGAGAGTTTGGGGGGCAGCCTCGCGAAGGGCGAGGACTCCCTCCCGCCTCCACTGCTTCCATTCACACTGGATGGGAACGGTCCAGGAAAAAGTAGCTCCCGGGGTCCGCTGCGAAAAGGAGTGTCAGCCGAGGCGCCGGCGCCCTTTCCTTGAACATGCTCACGCCTCCCTTAACCTTCCCACCAAGACTCTCCGCCTCTCCCCCCACACCTCCCGCTCTGGCCCGGCGCGGAAGGGGTCAGTCGGGGTCAGGACGGAGCCGGGGGTGCGGGTGTCCGGGGGGGAGGTCGGGGGTGGGGCGTGCTGGAGACCACAGTACTCACGGGCATGGGCGAGCTCTGCCCAGCGCAGGCGTCCTCTTCCCTGGGCGCGCGGCCCCCCGGGGTCGGCTGGGCAGTGCCAGAGCTGCCCCCAGCGGGAGCGAGAGGCGGCCTGGCCGCTCCCCGTGACCCCGCGAGAGCCTAGCCGCTGGCAGAGAGCGAACGGAAAGCAGGAGGGAGAAGTCCGGGCGCCGCTGGGGAGTCCCAGAAGGGGGTCGCCGGAGGAGGTGAGAGAAGAATCGTGCGAGGCCAGAGAGCGTGCTGGACAGGAGGCTGAGCGGCTTCGCGGCAGCGCGCGAGTCTGGGAGCTGTGCAGGGTCGGCAGCAGGCAGGGCAGGAGGTAGGGGGGAGAGAAACAAAATCAACACACCATTACTGTTGGCTCTAGCTACAGATGGAAGAAAATGTGTATTTACTATCATTTGCTACAGCATTTTGAGGCTGTATTTTGGGGGTGCAAGAGAAGGTAGGTGAGAGCAAAGGGAAAGGCCTTTGCTTAGATTCTCCTTCCCTATTCTCTCCTTCCCCCCCTCCCCTACCCCCTTTCTGAACTCTGTGCTACTCAGTGTGGTTCTTAGACCAGCAGCTTCAATAACAACCAGGAGCTGGTCAGAAATACAGAATCTGGAACCCTGTCCTGAACTAGAGCATCAAAATGTGAATGTTAACATTCCCAGTGAGGTTTGTATGCACCTTACATGTGAGATGCAGTGTAAAGAAGCGTCTGTATTCGTGTTTCTTGGTTCTTTGGGATTTCCTAGTGAATGAAAATTCACTTTTGCAACTCTTGCTCATCTCCCATTTTCCCTCCGACCTTTCCCACCTCCCAAAGTGCCTAGAGTTCTCCCTGCTGAGTCATAGAAGTTAGACTTGGTTACTAGGTTCCCTTGTGAGAGGTGTCTAGGGGAGAACTGATGAATGGCAGAGGACTGAGCAATCGGAGACCTAGGCTGGGTGGAACAAGGGACTGGCTGATTTGGCTTTGGTTGTACACGTTGGAGTGGGCAGAATACTAGGACTGTTTTGGGTCTCATAAGTGCACACTATGCAGGGCCCCTTTCCACACTCTAATGTGTCCATCTTATTCTCAGGAACACAGGCCTTTGCACCTTCCACTTGTTGCGTAGGATATCAAAACAGCCAGTGTGAAGGTAAAATTATTATTATTTTCTTTGAAAGTAGAGGGAGGCATTAATTCACAAGTCAGAAACCCAAGGTTCTAGACTGAGCCTTGCAACTAAGTCCACTGCTTAACCTTGGGAAAGTCTCTTTATTCTTTGAATTTATCTACTTCATTTATAGAGTAAAGGGATTGAACTCAGCGGCTTTTTAAAGTCACCTGCCTAGTCAGGTCTCATTTTTAGAGCTTCTTGGTCCACTAACATTTAGAGAAGTTACAATCCAGAACCTAACTCAGCCAATACAAACAGCACCCTCAAGCAAAACAAAAAGACAATTTAATCTGTTTGTGAAAAACAAGAGTGGTGGTTGCCAAGAAATTGGAAGGTGGAGGCGGGAAGCAGCGAATAAAAGTGACAGGGTGGCGAGGCACGGGAGGGGGCTAGGCTAGCGGGGCGGGAAGCGAGTCCCCAGGGCGCGGCCGCCGCTCTCCAGGGTCCTGAAGGCGGGAGCGGCCGCGGGCGGCCTGCGTGGGCTTGGCTGCGCAGGTTCCCCCTGCTCCGCAGTTGGCAGGCCCCGCATGTTTTCTTTGGGCCGTAGAAGTCTTGTGGGAAGCAATTGTCGAGAGGGAGGGAGGAAACCTAGCAACCCATTCTCATTCATGAGGCCCTTTCTGGGAAGCCGCCGAGCGCGTTGGCCGATTTGTCTTTCGGTCGTTTGTATGCGCCCGGGGAGAGAGTGGAGCTCGGTTTGCATTTCCGAGTAAGTTCACACTGTTTCGCTTCCCCCTGATTACCTTTTCCTGGAGAATGGGGTCTTTCTCCTAGAATTTTCATTCTCTCCGTTCAAGTGCTTGTTTCCCCTCCCCTGCTTTCTGGCACCGTGCGTTTATTTTAGGGATTGGAGCTGAGAGCCCAGGAGGCTCCTGGAGGAGGGCCAACAGCGCACTCGAGGCGGGGGCGGGGTGGGAGGTGGGGAGGTGGGGAAATGAGAGAATTGGACAATACGCTGAGCGGGCCTCGGCGCCCAGCTTCGGTCTCGCTGGGGAGGAGGCAGGGGATGAGTCCCTTGGTCTGGGGTTGGGGTGGGTGCTCAGGAGGCGCCAAGCGAGCTCGGACGCCGCGGGCAGCTGGACTTGGACTGATCGCAGTTCACTTCATGCGCACCTGCCGGTGATGGTGGGCCAGTGGCCGTGGCCGCGTCCGTCTCGGGTGAGCTGCCGGACGACAGCAGAAACCTAAGCGGATTCGGGCACGGGGGCCTGAAGGGCCCCATGGAGAGGAAGTCAAGAAAGAACCGATTCAATCCGTGGTGACCCAGAGCCTGACTAAGCCCACCAGCGACCTTTTCCGACCAGCCTTCATAGAAAGGCTTGAGCAAAGATTAAATCGCTGGAAATGAGCAACAGGTACACTTTCTAAGGGCCCAAAGGAGGCTTCACGGGACTTCTGTGGGTCGCAGAATTTGCGTCTCCAGCTCATATTTTCAAATGGCTTTGTGAGAATGTGTGAACCTATAATCTGACCCTTCTCTCTTCTCTCCTCCCAAGTCCTTCTTCCCAAGTCATTTGCACGTCCTCCCCCCCCCCCCGCCCCATCCCCCGCACGCTTCATTAGGCATTTTGCTTCGGTCTTTGCTTCAAGACAGAGACGCTTGTGAGGGAAATAGTGGAAATGTTCAGGCAGAATAAAAGTCCCAAACTCAGCCCCAGAAACCCAAAGCCCCTGCTCCGCTGCTCCTTTGGAGACAGTCAGCTTTTACCCTTCCCTAGGTTGGTCTTTTCTCTCAGGATCAGTAGCCTGCTCTCCAATTCTGGCTGTGTCTGGACACACGGCAGTCAGAGCAAGTCTGGGCAGGGACGACTGGCTTCTCTAACAAGCAGGGGGATGAAGCATGATAGTGTAGGGTGCTGAAATCCTACTCCCTCTGGCTCTCTTGGCAAGGACAGAGCTCTGGAAGTGTCAGTGGAGCCACAAAATTTGATCTGATAAAATTATCTGAGGAAAGACTTCTGCTGCCTGCCGTGCTCCAGAAATCCCTGTCTTCCTTTTAGGCCAGATTCTAGATGGCAGTCTGAGGGTTTCACTAACATTGTGCACAAAATGAAATCATCTTGGAATCTGTATTACTGAAAGCATCACTCCTTAGGGATCCAGAAGACTTAGGGAATACTTTATAAAGATCGAATATCCCCTTCCCTACTTAATCATATTGGCTACCGAACCCTGCAGAGGAAAAAAAAAAATCACCACACCCAAATCAATATACACAAAGTCTCACCCCTTTAAAAGGCAAATTGAAATTTTGCATTCACCCCTAAATAACATCATTTCATAAAGGAAGCATTCATGGCAGGATTAAACAACTTTTAATCAAAAATTTCTGAGAGACTTTAGAATTAAAATCACAGGATGGAATTTGAAATTAGATTTAATTTTATGAGAGGACCTATTTTTTTTTCTGGACTCCTTTCTTTTTAACCTCTGTTTTGCTTTGATTTAGCCATATTACACATTTTTATTTTTTCATTATTTGGAGAAATAATTCCTCCACTTGGATCTAAGAATCTAATTGGCAATGATTTAAAAGTCTAATATGGCAAGTCTTTGCTTGTGCTGACTTTAAATCATGCAGATTGGAAAATGGCAAGATAGAAGATAGACAGATCATGGATAGTAGAGTCACAGGTTAATATTAATTTGAGGCCAACCAAACAATGATGTTTCTATTAGGTTTTGCTTCAAATCTTGATGTTCTTAGTGAAAGTACAACTGTTAAAAAGAATATCTCTGTAGCTCATAATTAGTTTTGACTTCATTCTTTTAATAACTTTCTAGTGGGTCTATGCCTAGGGCTTACATGGAGGTGTTACAAGTAGATGTTACATACTGGAGCATTGGTAATAAGGGGGAGGTGGAACTGGGAACAGAGGGGACCAGAAATGAGGGCTACTTAGGTGACATACATGTCTGGGGGAGGGAAACACTGCAGGCTGTCTGCTCAATTCTTTCAGAGATAACTGGGCCCTTTGCCTTCCTGCTGGTGTTCTTAACCAAGTGAGGAGCTTAAGATAGGAGGTGGGTCTTTATTTGAATCTATGTACATATATTTATTTGATTATACACAAAACTGAACTCTTGGTATTCCACTCCAAACTTTCTCCTCCACCTCGGTGAATGGCCACTTGATCATTTCAGTTCAGGTCAAAACCACTGAAGTATCCCTGCTTCTTACATTCACAGTTATCACTGTGTTATAGGATGAATTGAGTCTCCCTTGAAATCGAATGTTGAAGTCCTAACTCCCAGTACTTTAGAATATGGCCTTATTTAAAAATAGGATGGAGCAGATACAATTATTTAAGATGAGTCATGTTAGAATAGCATAGGCCTCTAATCCTATGTGACTGGTATCCCTATAAAAAAGGAGAAATTTGGACACAGACACACACAGAGAATGCCATGTGAAAATAAAAGCAGTGATGGAGATGACGCATCCACAAGCCAAGGAATGCCAAAGATTGCCAACTAACCATCAGAAATAAGGAAGAGGCATAGAACAGATTCTCCCTCTCAAGAAATCTGGCCACGAGACTGAAACATAGAAACCCTGCCTCAGTTTCCAGCCTGTTGACCTATCCTGCAGATTTTAGATCAGGACTGAAACATCAGTTCTAACCTGAATTTCTAACCTGCCAGCTTACCCTACAGATTTGAGATTTTCCAGCCAACATGGAATGTTGGAATGGAGTCAATTCCTTAAGATAAATCTCCTACTCCCTCACCATCCCCTTTCCTTCTATCCTCTCCCTGCTACTCTCTGTCATCATCTGTCTATCACATATATATCCTATAGGTTCTGGTTCTCCAGAGAATCTTGTCTACTACCCTTTGATACAGGTCTTATCATCATTCATCTGGACTTCTGAATTACCCTTCTAGCCGGTATTTCTACTTCCCCTTTGCCTCGTTTCTCTCACTTTGCCTCACATTCCCTTAATATTGAAGCTAGGATTTTTCTTTAAAATGTAGGTCAGGTTATGCCACTCTGCAAATCCAAACTTTCTATTGGCTTCTATTTTGGAGTAAAATCCAAAGTCCTTACACTAGCCCTTAAGACACAACATGAATGGTCCATCCTACCACTAAGATCTCCTCTTCCTGTAGAGCTATTCTTGCAATATTGGTTTTCTATAACACTTATTACTATTTGGCATATTATATATTTACTTCTTTTTTTAATGATGAAGTAGTAACTTTTTTCTCTTTTGTTCATTGCTATGTCAATAATGCCTAGAACACTGTTTGGCCCTTAACAAAGTGCTCAATAAGTATTTGTGAGACAAATGAATGAAAAAGCAAGCTCAAATATTAGTCATAAAAAGGAATGGAATTCTGGTGCATGCTACAACATGGATGAACTTTGAAAACATGCTAAGTGAAAGAAGCTGGACATAAAAGGACAGATATTGTATGATTCCATTTATATGAGATACCAAAACTAGGCAAATTCACACAGATAGAAAGAATAGTGTTTACCAGGGGCTGGTGGGAGAGAAGAATTGAGAGTTACTACTTAATGGATGCAGAGTGTATGTGTTGATGTAAGAGTTCTGGAAATAGTGGTGATGGTTCTACAACCTTGTAAATGTATTAAATATCACTGAATAATACACTTAAAATGGCTATTTTATGTTATTTTTATTTTACCACAGTTAAAAAAAAAACATTAAAAACTCTTTGGGGCAGCCCCGGTGGCCCAGCGGTTTAGCGCCGCCTTCCACCCGGGGTGTGATCCTGGAGACACGGGATTGAGTCCCACATCAGGCTTCCTGCGTGGAGCCTGCTTCTTCCTCTGCCTGTGTCTCTGCCTCTCTCTGTCTCTCTCTGTCTCTCTGTCTCTCTTTCTCTGTCTATCATGAATAAATAAATAAAATCTTAAAAAAAACCTCTTTAATGTGTGAGCTCAGAGGAGCTTGAGAATGCCTACCCAATGGGGAAAAACAACTGATTTTTTCAACTCCTGATTCTGCCAGAGATTTCACCTACCTCCTGAGCTTCCCTTGCCTTGATTTTTGCTGCCACCAACTAAAAGTTTGCAAGATAGACATTGCCAACTTTCATTCCATTCCATAGATTGTGGTATGTAGAAGTAGAAAGAAAATAGCTGAAGCAGGATCCAAGAACAGTCTTGTAGGCTCTCATTTCTTCATTCTTTCAACAAACATATCTCTTAATTATCAATGTCTAGATACTCTGGATTCGAATTGGGGCGGAAGAAAATGATCCACTCCTACAGTGTGGTGAAGGAGTGTATAGTGAGAATCTATGTAGACCGTTTAGGACAAGTAAGTCATGGCAAGGATTTTGGATTTCATTTTAAAAGCAATTGTAAGTCATTGAAAAGTTTTACGCAAGAGAGTGACATGATCTTATTTATAATTTTAAAAGACTCCATGGTTCTTTGTATTGGAATGATTGGTGGGGTGACAGGCATGGGATTAGTGAAAGCAGGAGGCTTTACCATAGTCCAAGTGAGAGAAGATGATGACTGGGACAGAAATGGGAATAAAATATAGAGAAATAGACTAAGATATGTTTTAGAGAATTAATAGCACTTCAGTGGATTGGATGTGCAGGCTGAGAAAAGGGAATCAAAGATAATACCCAAGTTTTCTGAGATAAGTGGCTGGGTGGCTGGCTGAAATGAGGAAAAGGGTGGGGAATCAAGAATCCTGGTAAACACATTCCTAGATGCCCATGAGTCATTCAAATGGAGATGCTAAATAGGCTGTTGTAAAACAGCTTTGAGCTCAGGGTAGAAGTCTAGGTAGGAGTTTAGGAGATGTACATTAGGAGTTATTAGCATAAAATGGTATTTAAAGCTATTGGAATTGGGTAAGATTCCTAGAAAGAGATGAAAAGATAGAACAAGATTGAATTAATTTAAAGAGTCTGAACCACATCCAGATGGAAATGGGAAGCCACTGACAAAACTTAATCAGGGAGTTAACAGAATCAGGTTTGTATTTTAGAAAGATCTCTCTGTCCTTTTGTGTTACTCAGAGGTAGGCATGACTGGAAAGAGTGACCAGGGAAGATGCTGTTGCAATAATTTTTGGGGAGATGATAGTGACTTGATCTAGGAAAGCATTAAATGGGATGGAGATAACTAAATGAAGAGATCAAGAGATACTTTTGAATAGTGTGAACAAAATGTGGGGATTGATTAGAAGTATGAAATGAGGACAAGAGCAAAGTCAAGGGTTATGCCTCCCAAATTGTAGTTCAAAACTGGATAGATGATAGTACCATTTTTACTGAGAGAACTTAGGAGAAGAAGAGTTTGGGCAAAGGTAAAGAATTTTGAAGTGCCTTTTAGATATATAAATGTAGATGGTCAGTAGATTTTCATAAATTCATGTGTGGACTGCAGCAGACAGAGCCTGAGTGGATTCATCAATCCTTAAGCTGTCTCAGAGCCTTTGACACTGCTCAGATTAGCCAGAGAGAATGAGTCCAGGGAGAAAAGAAAAGTCCAGTGAGAAGATGAAAACCTAGGGAACTTCTAATATTTCAGAGTCAATAAAGGGAGAGGAATTTTTAAATGAGGTGAAAGGGAGCAGCCAGAGAAGAAGGAAACAAGACAAAAGGGACATCATCTGTTATGTTCCAGACTCTGGTTAGATGTTAGGTCATTTATTTCTTTTTGTAACCCTGCAAGCAGGTATTGACTTCCTTTCCATTTGACAGAAGACTGTTTTGAGACTCAAGTGAAATAACTTGGCCAAAGATATTTATCCAGAAAATAACAGAACAAGTTTGAAGGAATTTAACAAGCTTGGACGATCAAGTTTCTACCCTTTGTATGTTGGTAAAAGGAATGAATTGTGTGTGTGTGTGTGTGTGTGTGTGTGTGTGTGCCCAGGTACATATATTTGTATATACATAGACTATCTGTAGGACAAAACAAAGAAGCTGATAAGACTGAAGAGTGGCTGCCTTGGGTGGATTGGGGAGTGCAGGTTGGGGACTGGCCAGATAAAGACTTAGTATATTGTATGTACTTTTATGCTCTACATTATTGTAATAGAATCTATAATAAAGAGTTGGTTCCTTTATTTATTTTTCTTTAAATACTTGACTGCTGACAGCTTTCAATCCCCACTCTCTTTTTCCTTCTGCTTCATATCGGGCAAACTGATAGGACAACCTAGATGCTTTCTCCTTTGGCACCTGCAGGAAGTTCAAGCCATGCAAGTCCTGTCTCTTGCAAAGGAGTACCCTCAATTCTAGCCCACTATGAAATCCCAAGACACTCTTCTGCTCTCCCAAGCCATATTTGGACCTGTTAGCGTCCTGACTTGCTCTCCTCAGAGGGCTTCATTATGTGAATAAAACACCTCTCTATACTCTCTTGGTATTTTTGTGGCCTAATTGGCCTGGACATCTGAACCGAATTTGGGGTGTGTGTGTGAGAGGGTCGGTCCATTCTGCCTATGTAGGGATGACCACAACAATTGTATTAGGTCATAACTGTAAGCTATACTAGTCTAATTTTGAATATTAACTAGAACATTTTTAAATGGTAAGAATAAAAAAAGGTCCATGTACCAAAGCCCTAAGATTTTAAGATCCATGTCGGCCTTCTCCATCTTTCTTATCTGCTAATTCATTAAAAAGGCTGAAAAAGAAAAGAAAACTAAACTAAAATGACTAAAATCTGTGCTCTTTCTTCCATATTATTCCATATTCCAGAGATCAGGAAGGGAATTATTATTACATAAAATACAGAAAATTGAAAAGAAAAATTCAAAGTAAATTTTTGAAGCTTTGGTGATGTTTATCTGGGATCTTCAACTCTAAAAAAATTAGATTTGTCCAAAACTACCATATTTTAAAAAATCATAGATGCTTACAATGAAAAAAATATATTTATATATACATAAAGCATATATAAAATTATATATATATAATATATATATTCAAGCAAGCTATTCCTGAGGAATAGTAATCAGTACTCTAACAGAATCCTCACTGTATTTTACATACTTATTTTATCATATTTTAGGACATATTTTACCCTGATGTGCAAGCACTTAGAAAATGTTCTCAACATGCATGCACTCACCACCCCTTTCCTTTTTTTTTTTTTAAGGTTTTATTTATTTATTCATGAGAGACACAGAGAATGAGGCTGAGACACAGGCAGAGGGAGAAGCAGGCTCCTTGCAGGGAACCTAATGCAGAACTCGGTCCCAGGACCCTGGGATCATGCCCTGAGCCAAAGGCAGACACTAAACCACTGAGCCACCCAGGTGTCCCTCACCACTCCTTCCTTAAAGCTATTTGGTGAGGAGGCTACAGACCAGTGAGCTCCAATGATTTCTGTTAGGGCGGGCAAGGAACAGAACTGGGCCACTGATTAGTGCTTCCTGCCATAGTGCTTCTTGACCCACATCCAGGAGATGTGCTCATTATTTACTGATGTTAGTAACTAGGATTAACAGTAACAGTAATCAAGGACAGTGATATTGTTGATGCATATCCCTGAATGCCTCGATGGTTGCTAACTGTTCTTAAGTGCCTTTGACATTATTTCTCTCAGACCAAAATTCCAATTTCCCCTCCTTCTCATATCCAGCAAGCAATGAAAATTCCATGACTAGCTTGCTTCCAAACTGCCATTGGAGATTGAATTACTGACTTCAACTCTATAGGTGCTGGGTCAGTTTATCACATGGCTGCTAATTCTCTACTTCCCTCAACAATACAGTTACTTCTTTGAGGTCCTAAAAGGACAATAACCTTTTTAATAATCTGATTTACTTAAAACTAGAGAACAGTATTTTAAGCCCTAACAGAGAGGCCCCTAACATTTTAGATAGTAAAGAAAATACACCAAAGTGAAGGCTGTAGGAGAATCTGCCTCACATGATGTCAGACACCTTCGGTTAAGTTAAATCCACAGAGTGCAGAATATTGTTACTCTGAAATGAAATACAATATAGTCAAAACTCTGTATAATTTATAAAGTTCCTATTTAATTATTTATTTATTTTCAAGAAAGCTGCTAATCTTAGTGCAGCCAAGCTTTGCACAATGATTGGCAGAGTCTAATATAATTGTAAATCATACATTTATTTTTCAGTTCTTATTCAGTTTCTCTTAAGAAGATATAGAACAGGTCAACAAGAGTTCATATTGTGATATTTCATCCTAAGGCTTTTCAAGGATTAATGTCAGTAACTACGAGAAATGAAAAACTGTGTCATCAAAATCCTAAGAGCTGGTGGGAGCAAGCAGAAGCTTGAAAAGTGCAAATGTGAGAAATGCAGGGATGGGGCTGCTCACATAATCAAAAGTCTTCTTTTTCTTAGGTTATCTGTATATAAAAGTTTCCAGCACTGCTGCCATTTGAATCTTAACATTTTCCCTGGGCTCTGTTGGTCCCCTGGGGTGCCTAGTGGGGAAGAGGGAAGAAGGTTGGCAAGAGAACAGAGCAGGGGAAAAGCTGTAGATGGGGGAAGGGCAGAGTCAGGAGATGGAGGCCCTACCAGCTGTGTCCCCTGTGACTTTGGATAAGTGCTCACCTGGGCTGCAGTTTCCTTTTCTGCAGAGGGATTTAGTGAAGACAGCCTCAGGGCTTCTAAAGGAGCTGATTTCTGGGTTCAGTGTGGGGCCCATTCTCTGACACATAATCCCTTTCCATTGTCCTTTCCTGGGGCTCCCTCCCCAACACATGCGAATGTGCGCACACATGCACACACTTACACGCACACACTCACACATGCACACACACGAACCCTGTACCTTAGAGCAGAGAAGCAGAGCAGAACCCAGAGGGAGCTCTGGAGCCAGCGTGACTCCCAAGCAAGCACTTATCAACATCCCCACTGCGACTTCTCCAGCTTCCTTAATTAAATTACAGCATTCCTCCTAAGGAGGAGCTTCCACATTGGAGCCTGCACAGTGCCGCAGTCCATTCTACCCTGTTCTCTACCCAGCTGAAGGAGTAATCTTTCTAAAAGGCAAATGTGATCATGTTGCTCCCCTCCCTCTAGCCATTCACTGGCTCCTCATTTCTTTATGGGCCCTAATACAGCATATAGACCTTCTGTGATTTGATCTCTACTTTTACTCGCTTTTCTTTTCCTTCTCCCTATTACCTTGTATTCAAAGCTCCAATTATATTGTTCTGTCAGTTCCTAAAATTCCCTTGTACATGTTCATTCCTGGTTCTTTGTATAAATTTCCCTTCTGCTGAATCATTACCCATTCCTAATCTGCTCTTCTTCTTCTCACCCAGGGGAGTCTCTTATTAACCTTCAAGTCTCAGTTTAGGTGGGGTTCCTCCAGGAAGCTCTCTCAGGTTGGGTTAGCTGCTTGCATATTTTCTCTTGTCACAACATTTCCTGCTCTGAATTGTGATAGTTTGTGAGAGTCAGGACT